CAGTTTGGCTCTCTATGCCCTTCCTGACAATTCATAACATGGACTCTGCTTTCTCCTACTTCTTTTGTCAGCTAACATTTTTCATGCCTTTCTGCATTCTTTGTCACATCTGAGTGTTGAGAATTTGGGCAACAGCCTGCCTGTCTTTCAATATATGCCTCTTTTTAGATAAAAAATTAAGTAATCAAGTTTTAAAAACTGTATTTAATTTACTGCTTAACTATTTATGTTGTTTAATTACATAAAGAGTCCACATATAGAAAAAGTTGAGCTAACATGATTACTCACTCCCCCCATCATCTGCCTAAATCTCTCAACTACTGTAAATTATGAAAGCCAGTTATTTCACTCCCAGCTGCTCACATCCAGTATCTTCTTGAACCCGGTAAGTACAGGAGAAGAAAAAAGATTAGTTTAACCAGAATGTGTAACTGGCTATCTAAAAAAACCCATTAGGAAGTTCCTGATTCGTGAACACTTTTACACTGAAATGAAAGATCATGATCAGCAAATACTGGCCGTATTTACTTTTTCATGAAGATGAGCTATGAAAGGATAAATTACCAATGTATCTGTCATTTGCAACCCAAGGCCATTATTTTATGTTTATTAAAACACCATCAACCAAGGAATTCTAAACAACGTCAGAGATACTAATGCCTGTACATAACTACTAACTTTTATGGATGTTGTCATAATAATAAAAATATACCAGCTAATAGCCATTAATTCAAGAACAGTGCTATTACCAGAAAGTAATCTCATCTGTAATTTTTACAAGCTCTTATATCTGTGCAATCACAGAGCACGTACAGGATGGACAAGGGATCAGAGCCAGCCAGCACGGGTTTAGGAGGGGCAGGTCCTGTCTGACCAACTCGATCTCCTTTTATGATCAGGTGACCAGCCTGGTGGATGACGGGAAGGCTGTGGATGTGTCTATCTGGACTTCAGCAAAGCCTTTGACACTGTCTCCCATAATATACTCCTGGAAAAACTGGCAGGCCATGGCTTGGACAGGGGCACTCTGTGCTGGGTTAAGAACTGGCTGGAGGGCCGGGCCCAGAGAGTGCTGGTGAACGGGGCTGCATCCAGCTGGCGGCCGGTCACCAGTGGTGTCCCCCAGGGATCAGTGCTGGGCCCAGTCCTGTTTAATATCTTTACCTTACTGATGATTTAGATGAAGGGATTGAGTCCACCATCAGCAAATTTGCAGATGATACCAAGCTAAGGGGGAGTGTTGATCAGCTGGAAGGCAGGAGAGCTCTGCAGAGGGATCTGGATAGACTGGAGAGATGGGCTGACTCCAATGGGATGAAGTTCAACAAGGCCAAGTGCCAGGACCTGCACTTTGGCCACAACAACCCCATGCAGTGCTACAGGCTGGGCACAGAGTGGCTGGAGAGCAGCCAGGCAGAAAGGGATCTGGGAGTTTGGATTGACAGGAAGCTGAACATGAGCCAGCAGTGTGCCCAGGTGGCCAAGAAGGCCAGTGGCATCCTGGCCTGGATCAGGAACAGTATCGCCAGCAGGAGCAGCGAAGTGATTCTTTCCCTGTACTCAGTACTGGTGAGGCCACACCTGGAGTGCTGTGTCCAGTTCTGGGCCCCTCAGTTCAGGAAGGACATTGAGGAGCTGGAGCGGGTCCAGACCAGGTTGATGAAGGGACTTGAACACAAGTCCCATGAGGAGAGGTTGAGGGAGCTGGGGTTATTTAGCCTGGAAAAGAGGAGGCCCAGGGGAGACCTCATCACTCTCTACAACTCCCAGGTTGGTCTCTTCTCCCAGGCAGCTATCAGTAAGACAAAAGGGCATGGTCTTATGCTTTGCCAGTGGAAGTTTAGGCTAGATGTTAGGAAGAAATTCTTTACAGAGAGAGTAATCAGACATGGGAATGGGCTGGCCAGGGAGGAGGTAGATTCTCCGTCCCTGGAGGTGTTTAAGAAGAGACTGGATGTGGCACTTAGTGCCATGGTCTAGTAACTGTGGTGGTAGTGGATCAAGAGTTGGACTTGACAATCTCAGAGGTCCTTTCCAACCCATCTGATTCTATGATTCTATATACTACCCTTGGGTTTTCAAGAAACACAATGAAGCCAATTAAGTATCACTGAGGATTTTAAACTAAAAATTTTACAGGATAGCACTTACAATTTTTTGCATGTTACTCTTACAAGTCTTTTTGACACTTCAAGTCCAGAATCTTACCTAGAATGTGAATGTCAGCTTCCAGCACAATCTCAGAATAGCGAAATAGAATGACAAAGTCTTTCTCATCATATCTGACTCAAAAATAAATCAATTAATTTAAAACCAGAAAAAAATGAAGCAGAGCTAACTTACAAATATAATTACTATCCATACCAGGCAATACTCTCTGATAACACACAAAACTTGGTATCAGTCAGTCAATCCTATTCAACTATTCAACTGCTGAATGAAAGAACATGGGGTTTAGCAGTCAAAACTCACCTGTCAATGCAAACAGCTTGGAATCACAGGCTGACAGAATACAAAGGCATTTAGACAACATGAAATAAAACCTACTTGTTGCACATCCTGTTGAAAAACGCACAGCTGAAGCCGCTGGTGCAAGCGGACCTTTCGATGCTGCCAGATATTTTCCAGTTGGCGCTGGTGGTGCAGTACTTCATGGATGACATCCAGAACATGATGAACTGCTTTTGAGTAGTTGGCAGAAGCAGTGAGGGAATCGGAACTCCCAGGAGTCAAAGGTCTCTGGAGTTTGTCAAGGAGTGACTTCCCATCTTGGCTCACCTGACCACCAAAAAGGATGAAGAATTACTTGTCTTACCAAAGGCTTGTTAGGCCTTTTGTTCCCCCATCTCCTCCCTATTTTAGATGTCTTTAGGAACCAACAAATATAAAACTTAGGGCATGATTCTATCTCACACAATTTACAACTGTTGTTACAGCAAACTTAAATCTGATTAAATCACTTAAAACCTTTCCACACAGCACAGCAAGATACGCTTTTCCACAGAGTGTTTAGTGACTAGAAATGACTAGAAACAGTCATTTCTAAATGTCTTCTCTAATTTAAACCAGTAGAAAACCGCAGTAGAAATATTCAGATTTACCTTGCATGCTAACTAAAAAGCAATAATCCTATCTTACTTGGTCATTGTTACCATTTGGAGCTGAAAGCACTTTTCACTGGTGTTTCACTGTTCTGTCACTTTTAGCATGAAGCTCAGAGAACTGCTATAATTCAGTATCATTCAGCTACCTGTAAAGAACTTTTCAAATAGCTCATCTAGCAGACAGGAAAAAATCATCTGAAACTGCAAGACTGGAGTGTAAACAATAATCTGAACCCATCAAATCAACACAATGTCAGAAACAGCAAATTTGACAAGATCTTCCCTCAGTGGCTACTTTCAGTAATTTTTTAAGGAATCTAGGCACATTTTAAATTTGCTATTCAGTAGTCAAAAAGATCCAAATGAAAATTCTTTTCTAATAATTAGATTACAATTGAATTTATTTTTTTCTCAGTTCCAATTTAAGCTTTTTCATTTTAGTAATAAGTATCAACAGAGAGAGTGAAGCTCACTTGTGAAAAGTAGCCCCTGTAAAGTAAAGTCAGGATGAAAAAATGCACAGTCTATAGTAGTAGTATTTTTTCTTTTTTGTATCCAAAAGCATCATCTAGTAAGTCTTTCAAATATTTCAAGACAAAAGATTTCAATTATCTATCCAGATTCCATAAAACTCAGGTGGAAAAAAATTAATTGTGATGGCTCCTTGATCTGATTAGTTTATTAGCTTTACAAACAAATGACCACGCACAGTTTTTCTTTTGGAGTTAATAAAGTTTTCTTCCTTCCCAGTGCATGACTATACCTTAAGATTTCAGTGAGATGTATAACCTTATTTACACATATAACTTCATTTAAGGCACAGCTATTGGAGTTTCAGGCACACCAGTTATCTAAGTTTGGAAGCTAGTAAGTTTCTTTATTAGTAATATACAGTAATTACCCTCAGTAAAATCACACTGTCTAGTCTTAAGAGCATTTACTTCCTTAAAATTACTGTCTTCTACTTTGCAACCAAGTCATGTTATCAAGACACTGTAATCTAAAATGAATGACAGTGTTGTAATTTCCATAGTGTTCCTCTCTCTCTTCCCCCAGTGTTCATTCATCACAAAACGAAAGGAGCTCTGTACTGTAATAGAAATGAAGTCATACATCTAATAATGATAAGCAATAGTGGTGTAATATCTTGACACAGAAAGACACCTCCATTAATCTTCAAAAAGGAATGCAAAAAGGAGGTACACGACTTGTACATAAACATACAATTATTATTTCTGCACCAATTTTGGTTGCTAAAGCTATTGTTTTACCAGATGGCAAAAAGTAATGACTGGAACTCAGAAGAAAGGCACTTAAAGCTTACTCTTTTTTGAAAGGTATTTGCCAGAGCAATCCTATAATCTACCTATCTAATTTATTTTCATTATGCATCACCAGTAAGCAAACAGTCTTTAACATGCTAATCCACAGTAGTTATTTACACTTAAGAGTAGGCTCATCCAGTCACATCCCTGATGTAAACAAAACCCAAAACCACACATAAAATCAACCCAAACAGAACCAAATATAAAAAATGCCACTATTTTAACCTCAGTGCTTTATAATCATTATTCTAGAGTGATCTAGCCTTGGACTCACATGGAGCATGCACCTCAGCCTGCCTCTCTTCACATAAATCTATTACAAATGTGCTATTACCCTATTCCTTGTTTTAGAAAGAGACCCTTCCAATGACAAATGGTTGTAATGAAGAAAAAAACCTTACTCCAAAACATACTCTCAAGAATGAGTTACAACACTTACATGTAGTAATTTCACAAGTATTATCACCAGAGCTATGCTTCAGTATGTCATCAGATGAGCTGACACAGCAAGGTGGCGTAAATCAAGAAGAGATATATCAATTTCTATTTTACACAGAAGAACAAGAACTCCTGTAAACTCTGAACATCTGACTCACAGTCATAAAGTTTATGCAGGCCCCAAAATGGCAGGTATTCAAAAAAACAACCCAGTTTTGATATACTAACAACAGGACTGATTGTCAGCACTAATCTTATCTTCCTTTACTGCTAAATGAAATGTAACCAGACTTGGAATTCAGTTTCCACAATAAAGCTGCTTCATCACAAAATAGTTGTATCTTTAATATAATGTATAAATCACAACCATTAATTCAAACCCACATGACCTCCTTTAAAGAAAGGTGCAAGCTATGGCCTAGGCTACCTTGTGTGTGTCCACTGATCATTTTTTAAAAGATTTAACCAAATGCATAATTTTATGAGTACTAAACTAGTGTATTTAATCCAGACTAACATCAGTTCAATTTAATAGCAAAAACAATTCTATTCCATGATGAGAACAACCTGGCAAAAAAAAAAAAAAAAGAAAGATAAGTAAAGGAAGAAATGCAGAAAATACCTGCCATGTGAAATGAACACCCATTTGATTTCTAAGTTCAGCTAAGTAAACTTAAACTTTCTCTTTTCACAGAAAAAAAACTCAATATTTAAGAACAATAAATATAGATAGTCATCACTTTCTAGGCCACCTTCAGAACAACCATTTCATCCTAAGTTGTAAATGCAACCATTAGAAATACTGACAAATACTATGATTCCATTGTGTGCTGAATCCAAGATTAGAGCAGCAGCATAGGATACACTAGTCTTACAAATGATGACTACACAGGCATGCTGGCTCATTCATGTGTCTTTGACGTTGATAGAACTAAGTGTATTACCCTCTGGCTTGTCAAGTGACAAGTCCTTTGATGGTTAAGCCTTTTCTGTGAGGCAATTTCAGCAAAGGATTTTCAACAAAACACACTTAGAGGAATCTATGCCAACGGAATACTTTCCCAAAGAATACCCAGCTAAGTTCCCTTCAAGTAATTGTTTAGTATCAGACTGCTATTAAGAGGTAGTAACATGCAAACGTGAATTAAAACCTACTTAGTACACTGCACGGGTTGTTGGTACCACATATGGTTCCATCTTGCCTTTTAAATTTCTTTCAGAAGATAAAGGGGAAGATTTACCACTTCATTTTTGAACAATAGTAGCAAAATCCAGTATACTAAATTTAAAAAGAAGCCTAGCACTTGAGTTTCCAATTAATGCACTATGCACCAAGAGATGCCAATTCATGATCCAAACTTAACAAGACACAACTTGACCTAAGGAAACAAACAAGATACTTACCTCAGAGTAAGCCAAGGTAATATGCTCATATATCCCTTGATGATGATGGATAGCATCTTCTAAGTCTTGCAGTTCTGAGGGAAGCTCCACCTCACCACAGGCTTTACACCATGAGTCCACATTGCTCATATACTGCAACAGCGAAAAAAACATTCTGCTTGATTTTGGGTTCTACCAGTTAATACACACGTATTAGTAATATTCAAAGGACAGGCATCTGTGCAACAGTCACTTAAAAATCCTTACAGTATTTGTCTGTGAAATGGCCAGGATTAAGTTTATATCAGAATAGAAAGAAATATTCAAGTTTGACTAGTGCTTTTAAGTATCTGAAACTCTTCAAGCTCTTTAGAGGCAGCCTTCAGAACTGATTTAACTGTTGGCAACACTGATGCTTCAATTTTACTCTTGCTCTTCTCTTGACTTGGCAGCTATGAAAGTTTGTTTCACCTGCACCTATCATTTCAGAAGCATGAAAGCCATTTAAGGTCTTCTCTTCACAAGGAAGTAAAACCTCATAGTATCAGGAGGTGTATCACCTCACCTTTTTTTAATCTTCAGAGAAAACCATGTTACTTTGCACACGTGTGCACATGCAGATGAAGAATTACTGGTTCACTGAAACACTCCATAGTTGTCTTTTGCTAGAAAGAGGTTATCAAGGAGGCAAAGTAGTGTCAGGGCACAGCAAATTCACACCTCAGTCCCCAAAGCCCTAACTTCTACATGCAGAGAAGCACTAAATCCATTTGGCAAGCTACTACAGAAGCAAGCGTGTAAGGGATTTACAACTTCAGCAGTGGTCTCTTAGGACTAAAACTGAACTTTGAGCACATAGCTATGTCAGCATAACTGCTCAAGTCAAGCCTTTCAGGGGAAATTGAGGATACTGCAACAGAAAACTCTTACGCAGACAATTTAGGTTATCCCTGAAGTTTAAGTCATCTTGACAGACATGTATGCATAGTACAAGTTCTGCAAACTTACTTTTCACAGCTAGGGGGCATGAATTTTATACCCCTGTTATGATAGGAAAGGAAAGAGAAGAACGAACCTGTTTTTCTCAGAGTTTTCATAGTTGTTAAACCAAGCATGTGATCTGTTTAAAGTAAATTTGTCCTCTATTCACAACAAGTTCAAGACTCAAAAGTTTTAAGAGACTAAGCCATTTGTCTCATCATACATATTTTAATTCTTGGAGCACATGTAGTATTTTGAGGAAAAAGCAGATAATTTCTGGTACTCTGCTGTTGTTTCAAAGGTGGGCAGAAGGGAGATAGAGTACTTAGCTGTAAGATACTTATTTAATTCTCATTTCACCAAGGACCAGTTTAAAAAACCTCTGATGTTAAGCACTGAACACTAACAGAAGCTCCATATGGGACCACGGAGTTACACCTCTGGCACTAGTCAGCAGACACTGGAAGCTGGGTGCAGTCCTCACTGTGTCAGACAGTAGGCTGCAACACTTACCTGTCACTTGCAGGAGAACACAGGCATTCAAGAACGGTGTGTTATTTCTCGGGTTGCTTACTTTTTAATGTTTCTATGTAGGTCAAGCACCACCAGTCTCTAAAGGGGTCATTCCTCACATTCCAAACCCTCTTTCCTTGAACTCACTCTCCACTGTTAATGAAACAGCTAATGTATCACAGCCAGGTATCTTACAAAGCAACTAGGACAATCCATCACAGTTAATCATAAAATGAAAACCGCCGAAGGAGCAATTAAAAGTAAATTAATCCCAGCAGATGCTACACTATTTCCCTCATTCTTATCTTTTCTCTTGTTTACACTTACATTAGTGGTAAAGAAGGTAACACCAACCCTTACTACAGTTGCCCAGCACACAATCCCACAAAATTTAGTCCCCTGACTTCTGATGATGAGGATAGTTTTATTTCTTTTTTAATTGAAAAGGACAGCATTTGAGTCAGGTTATACCTGTTAACATTTCACTCATCTTTCCCTTAAATGTATGGCTGATAATGGCCAGTCTCTTGCGAACGAAGAACCGGGGAAGGTCTTTACACCTTCCAGCCTGCGCATTGGATTTTTTAGGTGAGACACAGCGTGCACGGAACTGAGCCCACCCTTTAATCCTAAGGTTCATCTGCCGGGGCCAAGCACGCTTGGACGGTGGCAGCGAGGTCCTCAGGACGTAGATGGATTGCCTTACAGGGCTAGCGAGCTCCATCTGCCCGGGGAGTGTCCTAACCGGGAATCGAACCCAGATCTCAGCGTTGACAACGCTGTGTTTTAGCCACTGCACCACCAGGGACACTCAGTATGGCTGACAGAGCTTAAATGTAAACCTGAATGATCCAAGTAATTAGAAAAACATCAATATTGATAAGGTACTACACTATGTCTATAAAATGCTTCAAGCTGATTGGTGACTCTTCTACAAGAAAACAATTCCTTCATCTCATTTTCATGTAGCTTTTCCGTAAAATCTGCTAAAAGTGCGTATTATCAGTTTATGCACTTTACCTTGGTCTGTCTTAGGACATTAAACCAATGTCACCACTAACCATAATAAAAAGCAGTGTGTATTTGCATCTTAATACATTCATATTTCTGGTGTCTAGATATTTATGAAGTTAAATATCTGTCTAGTGGAAATCAGAGAAAAAACTTAAAATAAACTGCACTGCCTATCTGTTTCTAAAGTTTTCAACTCCCAAGTGATTCCTTCATCGACTTCAAATTAAAGTTGTATCAGACATGAGACTTTTTCTTGGATATAATTTAGCAAGGCAAATGGAAAGAAAAGTATCTACATATAGCACATCAGAGCTTCAATCAGCCATAACCATCCAAGAACCTCTGCTCTCCAAATACACCAGGGATGTACAGAGCAGACAGTCTATAATATCAACGGGTGACTCAACTGTGCACACATAGCCACTCCTTCAGAACTGAATTCCCTGGAGGGCAAAACACGCTTTCACCATTAAGACTATTAACTTGGGGATATTTATTCCGATTTCCCCTACATATACCTCTTCTCTGGCAGTTTCACATGGTTAATGACTTAATTAAAATAATTGGTAAAGGCCTAAAGCTAATTTTTTTTTAATATATGAGGAATCTCTCATGAAATACTAAGTAAACATCACCCACCACAATTTCAGATTCAGACAGTTAATTAAGTTCTCAACTTTCAGGCCAGTTCAACTTAGTTTTCTATAAGCAAGTACTGTGAGTTAAATCTTGACACTCCAAGGACTGATTGGGGTGGAGTGGTGAGGACAACAGAACAAGTTATGATTTCTAGATGTAGGAAAGGCATTATATCAGTATTAAAAGCTTTATACAGTTAAGCATTTCTGTCCACTTCATTCTGATTGACAGAGATAATTTGGTTGCTTTACCTTGCATTGATATGGGCAAATAATTTTGTGGAGAATTTAAAGGCTAAACTGAGGAGAACGAGTTTTTGTTTGATTATCAACTGAAACTGGCAGAAATAAATGTTCTGCCTTTCTTGCCAACCTCTTCCATCACTTTTTTGTACTTTTAACCAAATCAAAAGCAAACAGCACAACTAACCATTCCAGCACATAAACTTTTTGTTGGCGCCCTCTCCATTCACTAACCTGTTCAGCCTTCTGATGGAAGATGGAGGACATGTCCAGTAATGTGCTACGTTCATCCAAGGCTGCAGCAAATGCCTTCCACTCTTGCTCCAACTGACTAGCAATCTGTTTGATTTGTTGTGAAGCATAATGGCCAGACTCGATCAGGCGATTTGCTACTGACATGATGCGGCTTATGTTTACATACACATTCTGTGGAGAAGAAGGATGGAAAAATTAGTGGAAGTTAGCAGACCATTGAAATACAGAGGTATACTTCTAAAAAAAAAAAATCTATTTTATTGCAGTACTGCTTAAAAGACTGGTTTTATTTGCCAAGTTTGTACATTCCAAACTTCAGAATCTAGGTGTATAACGTGACAAGTGAGAAAGATGACTTGAAATAATCAGAGTCTAAAAGTCACATTAACAGTCAGCTTAAGCAAATTCATATTATTTGAAGACATATTATTACAATGAAGAGGAGGAGTTAACCATGTTTTACAACAATCTCAATAAAAATGTGTAGTCAACAAGACATTCAGACACACATGATATGAGAGAATCAAAGTATAATTAGTAAGCACCCGATCTATCCACAGTATCCGCATGTGCAACACCACTCTACAAACCTTTACATCAACTTCTGAAAGTCACTTTTAAAGTAACTAAATTTTCCTGCAACTATACTCCCTTTAAGCTAGCACTGAAAATTAGAAAAATAAGGTTCAAAATCAGAAGTATTCTCTAGCATCCCGGCATTACTCACTGATGGCTCTTTGTCACTCTGATTTTGAATGAATAGTTTCTTATTCCTGCAAAGCCAGAAACAAGAACAACTTCACGACCAAAAGGTTTCTGAGTAGCCCTTCCAGAGTTACATGTATATAATACTGACTTGACACTTCTTTCAACTGGGCAGACTCCCATACATCTCGAATGAAGTTCTTAGAATGACAGGATTGTTGAAGTTGGAGATCATCTGAAGTCCAACCACATAGATGCTGCCCAGTGCCTGACACTGACTGGCTGGAGCAAGTGTTGCAGTTCTACCAGGCTTCACTGTTCAGTCTCATCTGAGTGGTAATTAGCACAGGTCTCTATTAATTGTAAACTGTATGCATATGTGCAAGCAGGAGCATACCTGACACAATCTACACCTCAGCTGGTCCACCTAATAAACTGAGCAAAGCAGTGTCATGTTGACTGTTTTCCTTTCTGCACAGTATCACCTCTCCATTTTTTAGGTTATCTCACACACTTCTGCTCTCCTTTTAATCAGGGCAGAACAACTGGAAGAATACAAATCTGCTATTTCTAACAACTTTTAAAAGACTGGAGTGTATTTAGGCCTATTTAAGTGTATGCAGCGTAAATATAAGACTGCTAAATGAATCCTTAAATGGTCTTGACAGTTGTGAAAAAAAAAATTGCCAAAAGAGAAAAGAATAAAGGCAATAGCAGACCGCCACTTGAACTATTTCTATACCATTATCAATAAATTTTTTAAATTCTGAAACACCAGTTAAAAATTAAGGACACGGTACTGCAAATGTGAAGCAAAACAAATTAAAACTAAACTGTGGTTAACATGTATTCATTTTCCCATGGCAATCTGGCTTCAGAAGTGTGGAAGAATACCCCCCGTAGCAGTATGAATATGAGTTAATATGCTGACAGTTGAACACTTTCCAAGCTATGTACACCACATTCCGTCCCTCGAAAAAGAGCAACCAAAGAACAACTAACAATAATCTAAACTTTTTCCCTCACTTTGTGATACATCTACTAAAGGTTTAAGTGATGGTATTTTAAAATGCAATGACCCAAGAGATTGACTTAGTTAAGGAGGAAACGAATCTCCAATAGTATCTTGCAACAGTTAGACTGTCTTCAGTTGATCCTTCAAGGTTAACAAATTATGTTCCATTTCCTACAAGGACAGGCGAGTCCACAGTCATTATTACATCACAACTACATATTTCGCACACTGCTAGAGAGATGAGAAACACTGTTGCAAGTACACCGGTGCTCATTCCCCAGGGACTGATATCATATTCATTGTATGTATTTATATCCTGGCTATAGTTAGGAAAGCAACAGCTATGAGGTAATAACTGCTAAAGATTTATTTAGTGATCTCATTTACATTGTGTGAATATGCAAGAAGCACCCAGAGCTTCTAAATGTGTCTCCACTGCCTCAAAAGTGAAAGGCTGAAGTGATACTGCATTGCCTGATCTCTTCAGTGACCAATGACAGAACCTCAGGGAATCGCCTGAAGTTGTGTCAGGGAAGGTTTAGGTTGAGTATTACAAAAAGGTTCTTCACCCAGAGAGTGGCTGAGTGCTGGAACAGGCTCCCCAGTGAAGTGATCACAGCACCAAGCCTGACAGAGGTAAAGAAGTGTTTGGATGATACTCTCAGGCACATGGTATGCATGTAGTAGGCATATGGTAGGCACAGGTGCTCTTGGGAATGGTCCTGCACAGGGCTAAGGGTTGGACTCGATGATCCTTGGGCATCCCTTGGCATATTCTGGGATTTTTCCACTGTCTCACACACATGACTATTGTAACAAGACTAAAATGTGAACAATTCAAGTTACCGCACTACACTGTGTTTAGTTAAGTACAAGAATGTACTTAGTACGATGATTTTCTCTCAAAATGCTCTTTAGCCAGAAGCTGAAAAGACACCTTACAATATCTGGAAAGCTCCTCATTGCAGAATTATTCTCTAAAGGGAGAATACGTATAAAGCAAGTATTGCTGAGCAGGCAACACAGATTAGTAGCTCAACACAAGCTGTAGTGCATTCTGTCAGTCTTTGGTGCGTGCCTGAAAGGCAAGAACACAGGGGAAAAGCACAGGTGACAGCCTACCAGCGTAAGTGAACTTCTATCACACTCGATACAAAATAAACCTGGCAGGTGACCTGAAGGTTCTATTTTATTTCCTGATTTTCCCAAACACATTTAGAGAATGTTTGTTTAGCTTCAAGATTTCAAACAGTTGTTTTCTGACACAGAAACTATTAAGAATTCAGTTTTAAATGTCATCACCTCAGTGACATGGTCCATAAGCATCATAACTCACATCTCTGTATATACTGTAATGAGTTGCAACTATATGACTACGATGAAAATAATTTAGCAATGGAATTTTCAAATCATCTGCCACTTCATACACAAATGGCCATCAAAACATGGTGTAGCATTAATGTATGAATTAACACCTGCTTTAATGATTAAATGTTCTCTAATATCTCCTCTAGTCTCATTCTTGAAGCAACACTAAAACTTTCAGTTTTGGAATCCAAACTTTACAATGAGGGCTGCAGAACAACTAAAGGTGTAACCTGATCTATTTCCTTGATAAAAAACAAACTCAGCAACATCAAGACTACAAGTAAGGGAAGTGTGTAACCTGTCCTTTAACTACAAGGATCCTCTAAATATTCTCAGGAAACTGTTTAACCACCACTGGAACGAATGAAATATAATTTCACTCCTAATTTCTTCAAATTTATCATCCCTTTCCTATGTTTTTTTATGTGGACCTGGGGAATCTTACTGCAAGACTTTATAAGTCCAATGCTAACACTACCTTCTTTCCTCCTTCACTTTTCACTTACCTTCCCTTACTCATAGTAAACACCCACGCCTTCAACCTCTCCTTACAGCCACATCATTTTCATGTAGAGGTTTCCAATTACAACATTAAGTACGGGGCTCTAAACTGGACCTAGTTCTCTAATAGGATCAACTGAATCAGGGCAATTTCTTTACAAATCTGAAGTTCAGCACCCCCAATAAGTACTAAAAGTGATGTAAGATTTGTTTATTTTCAGTAATACCACTGTCTGTTCTTTTAGTTTGTGATTCATTGACATGAGCATACTTGTTGCTGTATTAACAAGCTGACTGCTTTTTAAAATCTGTTTATTTGTTTCTTCCTTAGGCAGGTTGCACATCTAGCCTGTTCTGTTTCACCTTGTTGACTTTTGAGTGCTCCTCAGAAGCTGAAAATAGCCTGAACTCATTTTACCTTTTTCAGTCTGTTCTCAGGTAGGTGGCATCCAGATACTGTATCTAAGCATTAACTGCTATGGCACTAAAAAGATTCTCTTAGGCATGTGCACTCAAAGCACATCCTTCCCAATCTGACCATGACCCACACCTGTGCATTCTCTGAACTTCAAAAACATCAGAAACACATGGTTTGCTTGACTATGGTTACCCAGAACAACCAAAACCTTGACTGAATACATTTTACCTCCTGTGCTGCCCCATGCCTATTTAGAGTCTTTGTCTATTAGAGATGTTAGACTGGTTGGACAGCTGACGGATTTAACTATTTAACTTTCATTTATTTATTTTACTGCAAGCACTACCTAAGCAAAACATTAGATTAATAACATAAAAATAAGTTTAAAAAATCCAACCCATAAAACCCACCAAACCCCACAAAACAGACATGTCTCCACCAAGGATGAAGAGGTGGCTTACTACTGTTCATCATGCTACACGAAGCCTTTTGTGAAAATCTGCATTTCAAAGCAATCTGAGGAAGAATGCTCAATTCACAACCTTTGGTCTTGCTCTCATTTGTGAAAATCCCAGAGGACCAAGGGCAGTTCTAGAATTCACATGGTGCTTAATTCTATCTCAAGCAACAAATCTATATGGTTACAAAAGTACATATTTAAAGTAAAAAGAATCTCAAGAGTGAAATAATATCAATAATATAAAAGAAGAAGAAAAAGTTACACAAGCTGTCAGCTAAGGTGATTTTACCTCACCTGACCTTCTTCATGTTTCCTTTTGTACCAGTCCCTGTGGCTGGATCTGAGCAAGCCAAACAGGTCATCTTTATAACTTTTAACTTTGCAAGCCTAGTGATACTCCATCATTGTGTTCATCCTTTTATTTTAACATCCCAAAACTCTCAGCAGTGCTCATTTCTGGCATTCTTTTTTCTGGAAACCATTCAATATTTGATTACTACCTTGATAAAGTAGTTTAGTGTACACAATCAGCCTGTTCTGAGAAGAATAATCAACTTAGCAACATACTTACAATTGACACTGGACTTTTTGGACTGTGGTTAATAAACGTAACTTCTACTGATGGTCCTATTGACGCTGAGACAAGAAGTAGTCATAGCACACTCTTTAATAGTAGCATGTGCCAGCTTTCTCCAAACAAAGTTTCATTTTGCCTACATCACTTCCCAAGCATTTTAACCCTCTCCAGTGCATTGCAAGGCACAGATAAAATGTAATGAAAACAAGGCCGTTTGGTCTAGCAACAGGACTAGAAAATGTTCAAGCAGATAACATCCTCCTCCTCACCCATACTTCACGTGACTTCTTGTTTTCCTTGTGCACCAGCAGATGTATAGAAAATGGCAGGAAAAAGAGTGGACAGACACGGAATCACTCTTTCTCAGTCTCGCATGCAAGACTGACTAATCACATAATCATGGGTACTTTATTTTTGCAGTTCAAAAACTCAACACATAAATTTTGTACTTGCAACTCCTATGATGTCTTATTTGAAATTTTCTCCCTTAAAAGGTACTAAAATTGTGTTTTGAGAAGTGAAGCATCGGTTTAGTCACCCAAAGAGGAACGTTAAGCTGAAACTGAGTGTTGCTCAACTCAAATAAATCTTGGGACTTGACAACAGCAATTTACTGTTGCTGAAAGCAGGCCTTTTAAATTGTACTGAAAATCCATCCTCATCTTTAGAGAGCAGAATCATTGAGAATTTGTTTTTCCCCATAGTTACGGAACACGGGATCTACCCGCCTTATAAAGACACAGTTTTGACATTTATCAGTGCACAGCCTCTCAAATTCAGGAGTAACAGGAGGTCACATACCTACAGCTGCACATGTGAACTGTCCTTCAGTCAGCAACTCTTTTAGCCACATCAACCTGTGTGTTAATCAGTGGTAACCAAATATATGTCCATCTTCAATGCACAGCACTACACCTATCCAGCTTTGCTCTGGGACAGGTTCATTGCAGTGAGAACCAGTGTGTGTATTAAGCTTAAAATTTGCATGAACTTATTCCTTTTACCTTGAAGTGCAACCATGTAAGCCTATCACATACTGAATACAAAAGATTCCCAGACAGACCACTTGCTAACGAAACTGCTGAAAGTAAAGTTATATTTCCTCCGTGGATATATTCTTTCCCTTTTTGTTTTATAACGTTTGGTTTTACGCTTCCAACTACTTTGTGTTAATACTGAAAATCAGATTCTAAAAATGGCAGAAACCCATTACAGGGGAAAAAAAAAAAAAGGCAAATCTTTGTTCTTGATGTAACCAACTTCTATTAATGACAGGAACTAAGTCACTTTCACAATGTTTTACATCCAAGTGGCTCATTTCAGACTAGAAGACCAGATCAAAATTTTGGCATCTCACCCGAAGGCCGTCACTCCTTCTCAGCTGAGTTTGGCATAAACAGCTGCAGAAGTTGCCCTCCTGCACCTCTTAAAAAGCCAAGCAGCTACTTGGGAAGGAAGGGGAGATGAGAGAAAAAGGGTAGCACCTGCTGTGGAGGGGAACATGTGCCTTGGCAGCAACCACAATATGTTGGAAAAAGCAGCTGCAACATCAGAGTTAAGCTGTGAGCAACTGTAAGAGGTTGCATTTAGCTGCTTAGGCAGCATTTATCCTTTGAACAGCCCATCCCTACCTAAAGTGAGCCTAAGAAAACTACCTAGAAAGCAAGTTCTATTAAGGTCCAGTTAGGGTCACAATGAAAAGCCTTCAAAATCTCCTGCAATAAATAAAGCTTATACATAGTTGTCTTCCTTCCTCCACTCTATCTAATTGAATAATTTTGCATTGTTGTAGAGGGGTTAAAAGTTAAATTCCACTTCTAGCATTATAGCATTCACATAAGAGATCTTAAATCAACTTTGATTGCTTAAAAGTTACAGTGACAGGAACGGTGAACTAAGAGCAGCTTGTTAAGCATAGAGTATATGTGGAGAGTGGTCAGAGAGAAGCTAAATATGCTTGCAGGAGTTAGGACTGCCCAACATTTTTCCACTTAAAAGCTAATGAAAAAGAAGGCTTGCCAAAATTCAATCAGTTCATGTCAATTTTTTATGTCACATTCAGCTTAATCTTTGCTCTTAATCTATATGAAAGGCTTTGGCTATATAACCAAATAAAATCCAGAAAATCTGAACGCTGCTTAAATCAAAACCAGCGACTGATTATTTCGAATTTGCATTTTCCTATTCCATGCCAAAGAACCCCTCTTGGAGGAGATTATGCTAGAGAAACACAAAAAAAATGCAGCTTGTTTTTCCCTTTTTGAACGTTGGGATAGTTTAATTTGCCCCAAATTTAAGCTGCTCCCTGTACGCTTCAAGAAATCATTTTGCAGGCTGAGAAAAAGTCCCCTGTAATTAATGCATTTGACAACTACAGGCAAAAGAGAGATTAACAGCAAAAGACTAATAGCAAACATGGAGCAGGAAGGATTATGCTGCATCGCTCAAGTGCTTCCTACTGTTGATAGCATCTGAGCAGTACAAAAGCAGGGAAAAACAAGAAAAAGTCATTCCATTTGAAGGAAAGAGGACAACAGTGACTAATACCGAGGCAGGCTGACAGATGAAAAATTTAACCTTTGGAGTACAAGCTTAAGAATTGCCTGGAAGGCCATTCAAAATTGCTACATTCCGAAAGTCATCTCATGTCAATGGCATCTACTGTCATCCTGTGAGTTTGCTTCTGCTTTACTTCATATCTGAGCAGTGAGGAACAACAACGAGGTGCTCCATAAGGGAGCTAATACCTATGCCACAAAGCAAACCTAATGGTCAAAGTTACATCCATATATGATGTTACATAACTTAATTGCAAAGTTCCCCAACATTTGCTTTACTCTTTTCAGAAAGTACATACTGATTTTCATTTTTTTTAAACTTTTTCAAACATAGCTGAGTTGTTAAAGAAGAAAATGTACCTTCTCTAATGGTGTCTTCTATTGCCTTAACTCCAGCTATACCATACACAAGAGCTGCCTTACTAGCCCTTCTGTTACTTCAGCAAGACACATTACTCAGCTAAGTTTACTTTGCCACTCTCTGCAATTAGTAGTCCTGTCCTACAAAAAGACTCTCTTGCAAGACTTGATTGTTTCAACCATACTGTAATTCAATTCCCATCCTTGGACTGCCAAGAACGGTAATTTCTAAAAAGACTGGTAATGTTCTTCCTTCATTGATCTGACAGACAGGAACTGGATTTAGGCTCAGACTCCTAGGGTTATTTAAATACTTCAAATGCTCCTGCTGTAAGGGACCTGAAATGTACTTGAGAATTTCATCCCTATGTTCAAACAGGGATTCATGAAACGGAAAATAAACAGCTTTTACTCACTGCCAGTTAAAATCCAAATATTTAATTGCAGTCTACTTACAGCTCATCCTAAGATGATATTTGCCTGAGAAAATTTTTTGGGTTAACTCCATTATACTGTGCCAGAAATGGGAAATGTCTTCTTAAAAACATGGAAAATTATTATGCCAGGCTCAGCTACTCTTCAGAACTTTTTGTCTGAGTTGCAATCTATTCAGAAGATCCTAAGAACGACTTCTTTCAAAATGGAGAGCTAAAATCGGTACTACACGAGTCTCTCAAATTTCATACAAGACCCAAAGCAATACTCAAACACACATCCCAGGTTCTAGAAGGTTGTACACTTTTATTTGAGGATGATGAGGCTGCACTGAACACAGCCATTTGTCAAAACAATTTTGTTGCTTGATCACAGTATCTCTGTACTTGACTACTCTTTATTTTCCTCCTTTGTGTTTTATAATTTCACTGCTCCAATACAAATTCGCACTACTTGTAAAGAAGGAACAATTTACTTACAAATTCTACCTTGACATAGAACAAATGGATAATTTGTCTCTTTGTGTGGTGAAGGGAGGCCTGTTCTTACCATACAGTTCATGGCAAAGTGATTGTGCTGTGTCTGAAGTTCCATTGCGTGGGGGTGACTGGTTCCAATCTCTGTGTAGCTGTTCAGAAACAGACCTTTGTTGTGTGTGATCCAGTCAAACATCTACATGAAAATATTAAGGAAAGAAAAAAAGTTCAATAATTTGTTATGGCAGAAATCATAGACAAGTAATTTAAGCAATCTGTGAAAAGAGAAGACAGAGTCTAAGGCCACAAAAATCAATACTAATCCTCTTTCCCTTCTAAATTATATGATTTTAATCCAATCATTGATGAAATCTATCTTTCTAGATCAAACAGCTGAGGCTGTTACCGGTACCTTTACTACAGATGTTTATCTCAACAAGCTACAGTAAAGTCATAATTGTAAACTTCATTATTACTAAGAAGCCATAGTAAACAAACAGACTTGGAGCACAGCCCTGAGCTGTCAAGCTTATACGTTCGCTAATGTCAGCACTTCTTGACGTCAGCCGCTTAGCAATTTAAATGAAAACAGCAACTCATGGAAATTAAATATAAATTCATTCTTGCTGATCAAGTACTTCAGCAGCAAGTTTAATAATTTTAGTTCATAACTTTACAGCAGATTTGAAAACAATTGTTCTATTTCTAGATGACTTAATAAAAGTATACTTGAGCAAAGAGTTACACATTACCTTCTTCCAAAGAAGTCTAAGAAGAACCTTTAAATATATTTGTTTTTGAGAACAAAAAACCCAATATTTTAATATTCAAACAAATTTTAGTAAAGACCCTATTTGGCAATGGTCATCAGTGGATATACACAGGTTATGTTAACAGCGGCACTGGAAGAAAAAGTTTTCAAAGACCAAGCAACACATCAAAAACTAAGTTTAACACCCCACCCGATGGGGGTTTCGATGGTCTTGAAATCTTTGCTGAATCTCAGCAAAAAAGATACTGCTGGATAGCCTGAAAAAGACTGTTCAGGAAATAACAATATCAATAAGGAATAAATATTTTTTTAAAGATCTTTCAAAATATCCTGGCGAACAAAACCATACCCAGTATTCATTCCAGGTCCGTAACAAACCAAATTATAAGTAGAACACAAGATGGTAAGGACTGTAAACCAAACTTCTAAGAGCTTAGACAACTGAGATAGCTAATCACATACTCCTAAAATTTTCTGCTTCTTATCTAGAACACAGTGAAGACATGCTAGAACATAGTTCAAAACAGACTGGTCCTGCTCACGACCACCTTTCTCTAGGTCATCTTAATTTCCTGCCTTCAGACATCTACAGGGCAATTCCAGATTCCCTCCCACCTCGCCCGTTTTTGCCTTTTTTTCTTCCGGACAGAGATCACGGAGTTGAGCAAGTCCTCCAAAAGGAACGTGTGTTTTTCTCCTCATACAATACCCTTTATCTTTCCAACAAAGATCCTGTCCTTTCCCACATTTAAGAAAAACACATAGACATCCACTGATAAAGAAGCCATGAGCTATGAAATCTAATCTGATATAAGCAGTAAAAATAAGGGCTGCAAACAGATTAAGGCAAGGGTCTTAATCCAAAAGTGAGTTGGGATACTACACAAACCTTCTTTTTAATCTTTTTTTTACTGGCTGTTGAGAGAATAAAGTCTCAGGTGAGCTAGCTGCTGTCAACCTCATTTTGAGGTGCCTGATACTTCCCTTATGAAAGAAAGATGTGTTAATTTAATAGTGACTTATTCTTGCAATCAGAAACCTAGAAAACACAGATAGGAGCTTATGCAACCACATGGCAGGACAGAGGTCAATCCCACAGGCTCAAGTATTTCTCAAGAAGTTTCTTAAAGCCCAAGTTATATAAGCAACTTGGTCAAAGATGAGTAAATAAAAAAAATATATTTTGATGGCGCTCTGACAGTACTGAAAGATATGCTATAACACAGAACAATTAATGCTGCATGGAAGTGGCTGATAAAAAACATTTGGACCTGAAAGAACAATACTATACCAACAGCTTGCTATTTTCTAAATAATGCTATGATTAATAATTTTATAATTATCTCAACTCTTTACATGTCCCTACTACTTTCAGCTATATCTCTTCAGTAAACACTTGCTTTAAATGGTACTTTTACAAATTATTTCTTTTTTAAACACAGCACAAAACATTAGAGTAGTGTAAAACAAGTCCCTGAGGTGAAACACGTTTGCTCTGCTTTTACTCTTCCTGATGCATTTGGAGAGCAGGATACCGGTTTAACACAGACCTTTGGTTTCATCCAGTTCAGGCAATCTTAAATAAAATACTTTAAGAAATCTAAATACTTTAGGAACTCTGACAAAGGCCATACTGACCACTTGATTGCATAGTTCAAGTTACTACTTCCCCCGGGAGAAAAACTCCCCACCCTTCCTTAAAGTTATTTGTTCCATGGTAACAAGTCAATAACAAGTGATTGTAATACCATTCTACATGAAAACAGATCTTATTTGAGCTCATCTAAAAGTGAACTGCCTGCCATACCTCCTGTTCACATTCTATGACAATCAAGGGCTTTCTCATGTGAAGGGACTGGTTAGCCTGAAACATTATGAAATCACTCAGTTCCCTATTAATGACATATGCACTGTCAGAAGAGATACATCAGTTTTTAGCCTGGGACTTTAAACCCTGCATCAATGAAGCAGTTCCCCATGTCAGTCTCTTTAGACTTTGTCAACTGCCTGTCACTCACTGTCCAAAGATCACTAAAGAAGACCAATGTAGTTTCTAGTCATCTGTATTTACAAAGTATCCATCATTCATCTTCACTTGATGCAGGCAAAAAGAGTTGGAAAAAGCCCTTAACAAAACAAAAGCTTTAAAGTCACTAGCACTTAAAATATTCTTTGGTGAGAACTACCTGTGTCCTTTACAGCTTATAAGTACTATCCCATGCCCTTTACTCTAGAAGACTCTTAGCACCTCTCAACCAAGAAGTCCCTTATTTCTCATTAAAAGTCTAGTGATTAACTTGAAAGACAAAAATGACTATTTGCAGTTACTCTTGGTACTTCTTTCAAGTCCATCAAGCACCAGCCATTTATACTCCCCTCCCCCCATCGCTTACCTTTTCAGCATCCTGCTCAAACAGCCTGAGCTGAAAACATTGGTCCAATTTCAATTTTCGCACATGCCACATCTGATGCAGATGCTGCCGTGTTGAGTGCAGCCTGTCCAGCATGGTGGATACTTTGGGTAAAAGGTTCTGTAAGTCTGCATTCCCTGACCCCGAGTTCTTTTTGGGAAAGCTATCACTGCTCTGTATCCGCTGGAGCAGCTTTTGTCCTTCCACATCAAGGTCCTCGATAGGGGCCTTAATGACTTTCTTTTTTAATTGTGAATGCTCCTCTATCATATTGCGAGCACCTTCCAGGTCCTGAGGCATTTCTTTTTTTGACAATATATCTTGCAGTTCCTCCAGTCTGGACAGCATATGGGTTGCATTGCTAATGTAGTCCTCAAAGGCAACTCTGATTTCTATCCACTCCTCATGGTTGTATTCCAAACAGCCATCAAATTCTGGGGTTAGCTGAGAAGGATCAACTACTTTGGTAAGGCCTTCCAGAGACACCATATTTGTCTAGAAAATAAAAGTGGAAATAAAAAGATGCTGTTACTGAAATTAATTTGAAATTTCCTTTCAAGCTTTTGCTTTTCTCTTTGTAAGAGTTGATCATTTTGCTCACAAAGTCCACATGACACCTTTTCTCACACGTCTTTTCAAGTACCAGTTCTGAACAGGAGGTCTTGCAGGTATTTCCCAAAATTAGAGAAATATTTCTTTCTTACCTCACTACACTTCAGAAGAAAACAGCAGCCACTCCTTTGACTACTGTTTTAATTAAGCTTTGACTCTGTGTATTGCAAAGCATAAGGAAGACAACAAGCAAGGTTCAGACAGCTGCTTTCCTCAGCATGCTGGAGGTATCACAATTACCTTAGCACAGAACAAAATAACAAACAGAGTAAACCTAGCTTTTTACCAGTAGAGATAAAACCCTAATTCCATCTTTCTTACACTTAGAAAAAGAATATCAATAACAACATACACAACTACCTAGTCTAGTAGGTAGAAAGAAAAAGAAGCAAATCTCATTCCCTCTAGCACCAGTGGCCTAAAGTAACCCTCCTTTCATGCAGAATATAATTTATCTCAGAGTTTTCAAGGTGCTGATCATTACTGAGCACTTAAAACCACGAAATAAATATAAATTTATATTCCATAGGAAAATTACCTCAAACTCGAACTTAGAGCTGCCAAAGTTAGTCCTCTGTTTCTGCCAGAAATTGTCTGGCTTGATTATCAGTGCAACATGAATACAACATGGAAAGGATTCCTGTAAAATCTTCAGCAGAGGCTTTATGGAGTCCCATTTTGACCCACGCATATCTACAATGACAGTGAATCCTCGTTTACATACTTCCTCACTGCAGAAGAAAGAAGAAAAGGTTATCAAGCAAGTGTTACAACTTCAAACAGAGCACTCTACTGCACCACACTGCCTAATGAACGTGGTCTCCTCAGCCAATTGTAACGCTCTAGGGTCTCACTGTTGACAAGCTACACATACAGCAGATCTCGTGAACCTCTCAAGAAATTTCTCTGACCCCCATGGCCAGCTCCTTGTGGGTGATAACTTTATACCTGTTGCTGACTTGATATTCTGACTCTTCAAAACATAAGCACACTTACCTGATTGATGACAGTATTTATGCCTTTCTAATGATTGAGGGGATCCTCTAAAAGACAGAAGATGGCAAACTGTTCTTACCTACCACTTTGCAACTTTTTCAAATTGTCTCATATTTAGACACATATTATCTGAGAGTTAAAGAGTCTGCAGAGGAAAAAAAAACCTTTTTTGACCATTTCTTTTGTAACAGGATCTATTTGTGGAGAGTTAATGGATAAGGTGGTATTTTATCATTGTGAAGAAAACCATATTAACCTGTTTATACAAAACTTGAGCTCAATTTTGCTGTCCAAAAGTCGACAGACCTTACACTCAAAGTCTCCAGCACCTCTTCTGAGAATGGAAGATTTAATTTCTTTTCATCAATACCTTCTGTACATTTAGTGCTTGCTATTGATCAAAAGTGACAATCGCCACCACCACCACCAAAAACTTTGATTTTATTCCAGCAGAATTTGCTACACGACCTTGTAGCATGACCATGGAAAGTGAAGTATTTCAAAACCAATGCAATCATAGCCGACAGACTATCAAAAAGTACCAAATGTCCATTGTTTGAGTACGAGTCACTTTCAGGGATGTGACTCATGCAAATGCCATTCTAGAGTTCATGTGCTGAGGTTTTCAGAGTGTCCAAGAAGCAGGGAAGCTTCACTGGCATATTTTAGACACTTAGACTAGCCACACTGTAGAAAGATGTGTTAAGACTAGCACAGAAGATCTTCTGGAAAAAGTGATTATATTAGTTCCTTAGAAGAGGAGGCTTTTTTAAGTTTGAAAACTTTCAAGCTGGGGAAAAAAAAAAAGAAAAGTCCATAAAATTGAATAAAGGGAGTTTATCACAATAAATGATGGCTCTATCATCTGCCCATAGAAACACCAAAAATGGCAATGGTGGAAGCAAAATATGTCAAAATCGACTGGCTTGGAACACATGTAGGCTACAATGTACAATTTTCTGACCATAGTGAAAATGTTTTCTAAGATACTCACAGCATTCAAGCACAAAAACAACTACTGTTTTAAAGATAGACTGTTTTAAAGATTATTGAAAGGCCAAATGCTGCCAGAGTGCTGCTCTGCCCATCCCTATTCTGCCACCAAACTGAGGACTGCATGAGGAGTACTTGCCACGAATTCACACAACACATACATCTGCTGGGGTGTACAAAGTGAGCCCTCATCATGTGATACAATCAGATGTGTCATCCATCATGTGGCCCCATCATCTGACACAAGTTGAGTGTCTTTTAGCCAAGGATCACAAAAATTAGGCTAGGAGGCTTTAGTCAGCGAAGGTCATCTATCTGTTCGTAAAACTGAATTACGTTAAAATACCTGGTACAGTCAGTGGTGATGATTTAAGTTTAGCTATATCTTTAAATAAGATAGATTGTTAAATTAGTAAAATTGTGAGACTGAATCAACTTGAGTTTTTAGATCTCTTGGCAAGCAACTGATACCTCTGATTCTTCAGATACATCAAATAACAGTACTGCAATAAATACGAGACAGCCCAAATGTTGGGGGCTATTTGTACCATTTGGGACTTCTTAATCAGCTAGAGTTGCATGATCAGTCCCTAAAACATGACTTCTATGAAAATGAGTTCTGCTTTTAATAAAGCTCCCTTTATTCTCAAAGCTTTGCTATGCCTAAAGAGATATAAAACCTGAACTAACTTTGAATTTTAAATCTCTTGATGCTAAACTAACATAAGCCTTTTGCCAGAGGACTGCAGTATCTTGCCAGATTATCTCTAGAAAATTCTTGGACACATTTTGATGCATATTTATCTATTAACTTCTCTAATAACTTGAAGCTTTCGATAGCTAGCATACATCTCACCATTCAAACCTGAAAGGAAAGATCTCAAGCCTTCTTCCTGTCCTTCTTCCTCTACCTCCCTCAAGTCCCCCAGTTACAAAAAAGAGGCCATATACACTGTCAGGCAGATGTCTTGAAGTTATTTTTATGAAACCACTTCTGAAACTGGCATCTGATTACATCAGGTGAAAAGACCTGCTGTAAATTAACACATTACAGAAACACAGAAGATACTGCATTCACAGACGTTGTCCAAGGAATTTTTTTCAGCTGTAATGACAACTGCTCCTTGAGGTCATAGGCAAACATAGTGAAGCACAGCAAGCATTGCTCCAGCCTGCAGCAGATGCTGGCAGATTCCAAGGTGGACCTAAAGTCAGGGTCTTAGGATCATTTTTGTCCCCAACTCAGATATTCCTAGAAGCAAAGTTATATATGAACAAACTTTTTCAAAATATAAATATCTCTCATATATTTATAACTTCATATATATATACACACACACATATATATGGGAGTGTATATATACACACACCACGCGTGCGCATTGGATTTAACTTCTGCCAATTTACTTAAATAGCACATTGCAGTGTATAACTTAAATTGCTGCTAATGTAATGATATTAGTACTTTGACAGATCACTCCACAAGTTTATCTGAGACCTTTACAAGCAATTTTACATATCTCTCTCCTGGTTATTTCTGTTGTATATCAGGCCACTATGATTCACCTAACACAAATTAGAGTTAGGAGTGTTGTGCTGACCCCACTCCACACAAGGCATACTGTGAACGATGACCAGCATGTTTCTAAGTAGTGATGAACTGAAGGCCTTTGAGCTACAGCTGTATTTGCAATCTTCAACACAGATACAGCAATATGCCATGGCAGTGCTGTTTCCAAGACAAAAACTACTTCCAGCTAAAGCACACCGTCCGTTCTGCCAATGGCCTTCCTTTTACAGGGCAGAGTAATTATTTCTCTTCCAAAAAGCAATTTGAAAATAGCAACTGACAAAACTTGGTATTGATTAGCTCATTTTATTAACCCATTCAGTCTTTCAGCTTGTGGGTGTACTGCAACATAATCCATCTATTTTGTTATACAGCTGTAGAGCTTATCAGGCTATCACTTACCTTGGAATACATGCTAAATATGAAATTAGTCTTCTAAGGTCTTCTTGCCGTATTCTATCGTGATTACTACGAGCTGGAAACGTTAGAATGGGACCTCCACGCTTATCTCTGCCACCTGAAAAATTAAAAATGTTAAAAGACCCCACAGCATAACACTATTCTTGTTAGCAGAACTAGTCTCACTATAAAAAGAGTGATTTCAACTTAAATGCCAACACTGTCATTTTGACACCAACTTAATATTGAATTTTAGGAGCATTGATCCGCACACTGTCACAACTCCTATGATGAGAAAATACATGTAAAAAAAAAAATTGCAACAAAGAATAACCAGAACATTACACTTAGACATTACAGTCACGTTCAAGTCTGACTGGCAGTGTGACACCTCCAGCAATGGTGCTTTGTTACATATATCATTTTTGACTCAGCAATTGCACAGATTAAATTTAAATACAGAATTATGCTACTTTGTAGGCAAGTATGTAGATGATATGGCAGCAAAGAGCACAGCTGTGGGAGGTGCACCCAGGTAGAGGAGCTCCTTGGCTTAGTGACAGAACTCAGGGAGGAGGTGAGTAGGTTGAAGACAGATACATCATTGTCATAGGAGACTCCCTTTCTGAAAGGAACAGAAAGCCCAATGTGCCAACTGAATCTACTTCTTCTTGAAAGCCTGATGCCTCCCTGGGTTCCAGGTTAAAGAAATGATGAGAAAGTTTCCTACCCTGGTATGGCCCTTGGATTATTATCCATTATGGGTTTTTCAGGTAGGCAGCAATGACTGAAACACAAAGCCCAAGGGCAATCAAGAGGGATGTGATTGAAGCCTCTTCCTGATGGCCTTGGGATGACTGACTTGGGGGATCAGAAGCACAGCTGGTGCTTCTCTATCCTTCCAGTTGCAGGGAATGATAAAGGAAGAAATGGGAAGAGCCAGCAGATCAATACCTGCCCCCAGGCCCCCTGTCACCAGGAGGGTTTTGGGTTTTTTGATCAAGAGTTGGTTTACACAACATTAAGCCTGATAATGACAGACAAGATACATCTGTCTCAAAGGAGGAAAAAGATCTTTACACAGAAGTCACCAGGACTCACTGAAAGAGCTTTATACTAGATTTGAAGGGAAAAAGGACAAAGTCATGCTCACTAGAGATAAGCCTGCGGGCGGAACACCAGTGTTTGAGGTGTGCTAGCAAGGTCCATCCCTACCTCCACAGAGATGGCAGACTGAAAAAGATCCATGCAGCAGCCAAGACCTAAGGGTTTTCAAACACAAAGATGTGTTTGAAACCACGGAAGCACCTGAGAGAGGTCACGTAGAAATGAGGGCTTCTGCCCTGCAAAAGGTGACAGAATCAATAGCACAACTGGAGTGCATCTACAGCAATGCATGTACACAGGCAACAGGAGGAGCTGGAAGCCACTGGGCAGAAGGAGAAGCATGGCATAGCTGCCATCATGGAAACACAGGATAGGATGACTTGCACAACTGGAGTGCTGCAGTGATGGCTGTAAACTCTTCAGAAGGCATAGACAAAGAAGGAGAGTCAGTGCGGTAGCCCCATATATTAGGAGTGTTATGACTAGAGCTTAGTGACAGTGACAACAGGGTGAGTGTTTATGGATATGAATCAAGGAAAAGTTTGCAGACGATGCCCAGTTGGGCAGGACTGGATCAATGGGCCAAGGCCAATTGTATGAGGTTCGACAACGTCAAGTGCCAGTACCTGCACTTGGGTCGCAACAACCCCATGCAACTTTACAGGTTGGGGGCAGAGTGTTTGCAAAGATGCCTGGCAAAAAAGGTCATGGGGGTGCTGGTAAACAGCCATCTGAACAAGAGCCAGCAGTGTGCCCAGGTGGCCAAGAAGGCCGATAACATCCTGGTCTGTATCAGCAATAGTGCAGCCAGCAGGATTAGGGCAGTGATCATTCCCCTGTACTCGGCACTCGTGAGATCACGCCTTGAATCCTGTGTTCAGTTCTGAGCCACTCACTACAAGAAGGACACTGAGATGCTGGAGTGAGTCCAGAGAAGGGCAATGGAATGGTGAAGGGGCCAGAGCACAAGTGTGATGAGGAGCAGATGAGGGAGCTGGGGTTGTTCAGCTGGGAGAAAAGGTGAGACCTTATCGCTCTGTACAACCACCTGAAAGGAAGCTACAGTGAGATGAGTCTTGATCTCTTCTCCCAGGTAACAAGGGACAGAACAAGAAGAAGTGTCCTCAAGTTGTGCCAGGGGAAGTTTAGGAAAAATTGCTTCAACGGAAGAGTTGTCAAACACTGGAACAGGCTGCCCAGGGAAGTGGTTGTGTTATCATCCCTGGAGGTATTTAAAAGATGTGTAGATGCAGCATGCAGGGACTGGTTTAGTGGTGGACTTGGCAGTGCCAGGTTAGGGGCTGGACCTGATCATTTTAAAAGTGTTTTCCAATGTAAACGATCTTATGATTCTATGATTAACTTCATCACTTAGCAGAATTTAGGTGTACAGTATTTCACACTTAATACATATGCTAGATTGAGTAGATGGAAACTATTTAAGCATTTAACTTGTATTTTAATTCTGTTCTGATTTGCAGATTTGGAATTGTTAGTTTTTAATTTTGTTAGTAATGCAGAAAATTTTGAATCCACTCAACATATAATGCAAAAAATCTGACTTCAAGTGGTTCCACTTTAAGGTGTTCTTCTCAGACATAAAATTGCACAGACTTACTGTAGTCAAATAGTAAAATGTAGTTTTATATCCAACCACTTTTTAGTGACAACAAACCATTACTATTACTAAAGGCTAAATTCAAGCCAGTAGGATATCTTTATCAACACATCTATAATAGCACAGACACTTTACTGCAACCTAAATTTCACATATATGTTCTCAACCACAGATGTGTAGACTGTTTCCTCCTGTCCCATGGAAACACAGAAAAACACTATCCTCAGTCCAGAATTTCTCATTTTAAATCAGCTCCTCATTGTCATTCCATGTTACTAAAAAAAGTCTTTTTAAAATCACTTAGGAAGGAAGGCCAAAAGAAAATAATAAATATAAAAAATAAAAAACCAAACCAGTCACTCAAAAATTCATCACTAACCTCTCCAACAGTCTGCATCTGCTTGCTAGAGACAGTAAGCTTAGCTATCAAAGTCTCTAGGGACTGTCTACACTGGACATGTTCCCTGCAAGGCACCAAATGAAACTCAGAAGAGGCAAAAACATCTCTGAATCTCTGTCAAACCACAATGCCAGAAACCTTAACTTAAAAGAAAATTCATATCCTTACCCTCCACGACTTTCTTAAGTGGACATAAGACAAAAAACTTAGTTGTCTCATTCTAATGGAGAAAGGCAAATACTGACTATCCTGACTCACTTGCCAAGTAGAGAGCTTTGAGGATTTATACACAGCAAGTGACAGGAGAAAAACAGGACAGGAGCCGTAAGAGAGAGGAATGGTAAATTATAAGACTGAGAGTCCAACTGCCCAAGCCCCTACTGAGCTCCAGAGTGATCACTGGGCTCCAAAGCTACCAAGCTTAATTGAAAGTCTGCTGCAGTCCTGAATGCTCTCCTCACTGCACCACAGACCTTCAGATCTTAAAAGTTTATGTTTCAACTGGTAAGTGCTAATGATTCCAACTCCCCAGAAAAAGTAACTCAAATTCTCAGGGTGGATATTCTTCTCTAAAAAGTAGCAGCTAGCAGGGAAGAGCATATGCTGAATTGTCTTTAACACTCTCTAAGCATTTTAAACAAATGCATTGTTACACGAAGTCACCTCAGATCAGTCCTCTGGGCCTTTTCCCACACTGTAACTCTTGCATCATGCAATTTTTCAGTATGGCAAAAGAAAGAAACCCTTATTCTTTATGTCATTCTGGACACCACTTCAGTTGGCTCCCAGCTCCACATATATCACAGAGAAAACCCACTTTTAAAAATGGTACTTAAGCTTCTGATAAAACATTCTGAAATTTTTGTATATCAGAGACAAAATCTGCTGTACAAATTTCAGGTCTAGATGTGTAATGAAGAAATTAATACAGCCTTGATTTTTGATGAAAAGAACTTCACTGCTCTTTTCACTGTTCTCTCACTTACTGTTTATCCAGTCTTAAACCAGATAGCAAAATTGAAAATATTAAGCAAAAAAGTCCCTAAGACTTAGGTCTTTTTATCAGCAAATACTGACAGCTTTCTTAGGTTTTTTCCAATAAATAACTCTCATTTCCTTTGTTCCTGATGCTCCTGTGTCATACACAAACAGGAAAGTTAAAAGCAACAATGTATGAGGCATCAGGTGGGAATTTCCTGTCTCACAACAGTCTTTATCCAACTCAATTCCCTATTAGTCTTGGTTTAACAAAAGTATATTAAGCTACTACTTTCAACAGTGAGACTTCAATTTTTAACCCTTTCCTTTTATATAACCCCTTTATAATTTATAAGAGAGGCATTTTAAGGAAACGCCTTTTTACCTAGTTTCAAAGTACGTGGATAAAGCTAAACAGTGGGCTTTTATGGCAAGACAAGTTACCAAGCATTATTTCTCCATATGAATACAAGATAACTGCCCCTTGTAAGAAAATGCTCTCAAAATCTAAGTATGCGTAGAGATGCAAGAGTATCTGTACTTGGACAAACTTCAGTTTAAACTTAAAAAAAAAATTACACCTGTGACTCTATTTGTACGTCACAGAAAAGCCTTGAGACATAACCATTTCAGGTGGTAAGAAACCAAATACTCAAAGCAGTTTATTTCCCAGTTAGGTGAAAATTGGTTCAGTAAACCAATAATCTTCCTTACCTTTTTGTTCCCAGGTATAAAGCTTGACAGTTCTAGTTCTACAACGGTTAAGGCCCTAGTGGTGGTAGTAACTTTTGTTGAAGGGGGGGAACACTGAAGAACATTATTGTGGGTTGTTGTTTATAAAGTTTTTTTAAATCATTTGCACTACTAAAGTATCTCATTTCATCTGAGTTTCACTTGCATTGGAAATGTGAAACTACGGATTTTGGCAGATCAGTTCTGGCCAGCCTTGCTGCCCACAGCTGTTTGCTCTATTCTTCCATCAGAAGTTGCTACCTTCACACAGGCAAGATGGCAACCATTTATTCCTGCCGACACCTCATCCGCCCTGGTTCACAGTCTATCATCTTCCCTTAAATTTATCTTCAGCTTTCACTTGGTCCATTTCACTTACACTGAATTAACGTCTTTTGAGATGCCATCTGCTTAGAAATTAACATCAGAAAACAGCAATCATTTTTCAGATCCCTTCTAAGAGGTCTAAACTGGACCAGTTGTGTCTAAACACTGGATAATCTGGAAATTCAGAGGTTTTTTAATAGAAACTGACTTCGTTTTCATTAAATACCACAAAACAAGGTCCAAAAGAGAGTAATGAGAGATTGAAAAATTGTGCTTAACTCCCTTTTATCTTCTTTCCCTCTGAAAATACAGTTTTAAGAAAGCTTTCACCAGCACTAAAATTCATTCACAGAATTGTGAATTACCATGATACAAGAGAGATCAGCTTTGGGGAGTCTGTTATATCATTCACTACAGTTGCCAGGAACTTTTAAGAAAAAATAAACCAAACCAAAAAAACCCAACCCAAACCCAAACAAAACACACACAATGTCTTTTTTGCTTTAGACTTCTACTTGATTCAGCAGAGTGGACAGGATAAAGTACTACACATCACATGCTGTACTTGGAAGCATCAGCATCCATGCACAGCAAATATCTTGCACAGTACAGTTTCAGGAATCATTTTGTGTGATTTAATATTTACAGAAAAGAGCTTTATTTTTGGCATTCTTGAAAAATTATTTCTCAAAAAAACTGCTTTCAAAAATGAGACTGTCCTCTAAATTGTTTGACGTTAAGATTATGGCTGAGGGAATGATGGTATTTAATCTCAGAAAGTCGCTCCAAAATGCAGTTCACAAGAATAAGCACCTCAGCCATCATTCCATCAACTGAAGTTACTTATCAACTTACAGACACTTATGACACTAATTCATATAAACCCCACTTTTAAATCCTCTGCTATTCCTTGTTCAGGAACCAACAGGCACTGCAAGGTCACCTCTGTAAAGGAGGTATTTCTCCAGAATATGCTTCGGATGGGCCTGTAACAAACACAACTCTGTAAAACTCCCCAGCAGAAGAAGCAGAAATAAGAAAAGGAATATGAGATTGGTACAGCAGGTTCTAGGTTGCTGCAAAAAATGTCCTTAGAGAGGCAGGGCTGGGGGAATGTGGGACATGACAGGACCAGAATGACAGCTTGCCATGCTCCACGTTCAACAAAACATATACCCTCTCTATTACAGATCCTTTGAAAATGCTTATGTTATGTTTGGGATATCCAAAAGGAATAAGTGCTACCCAGCTCTCTGTAATTTTTGAAATAATAATTAAATTATTTAAAATACCATTTTACATGCTACTAACAACACAGTTGGATATTCTACAACAAAAAATAACTGTACCTGAAAGGTATGCAACTTTTTCCTTTAAAATTGGCAATACTTCCATAGCCTTCATTTCATCATTTTTGCGAAACCCTGAAAAAACAAAACAATGATTAGTCAGAAATTCAGACAAGCTCAGCTTCTACATTTAATGAATGCATTGTAAAACATTTACCTTTGTAATACATTGCAAACGTTATGATTACAGGAATTAAGATAACCTTGTAATAAAAGTCTGGGAGGAGGAGCATCAAGCTACTAAGAGCATATACCTTTAGGAAAATTACCAGCAAAAAAACCCCCCAACCCAAACCCCAAAAACCCCACAGTAATACAAACAAACAAAACCAAACAAAACACACACAAAAAAACCCAACCACCAAAAAAAACCCACACAAAAAGACACACCGAAAACCCCAACACTATTTACATGCAACTTTCTTTAAATCACTTCTATAAGCACAATTCTTTTCTGCTGCCTGACAGGCACAGTATTTTGGAACTGAGAGCACATTTTGTCACGCTAACTCTACACATACGTGGAGTTTGAAACTGTCCCCAAGGTGAGTGATCACAATCAGTGTTGCAGAGCAGCACATCAACAGTTTGTCCCTCCTCTCTACTTCCTATTTCTACTACTCTTTTCTGTGGTCAAATTTTAAAGTTCTTCCTTCTTTGATAAGGAAGATCTTTTAACCTTATATTCCGTATTGACCCATACAGCATAGAAATGGTCATGTTTAGGCCAATTTTGTTCATCTTACAAGAACTGTGATGCAACACGTCTTCAACTAACTGTCTGTATGACCCTTCCTGGTCTGTTTGGATTCATATTTCTTTTTAAAACTATTTATTTCTGAAGGAAGTACCTCTGCTGGGGAAGGTAGGAACCACTTCTCTATTACTGTTGAATCACAGAAGTGCTTTTAAGACAGCTCAAATGGCTTGCTATGACACCACAGCTGTGCTCCTTAAAGGTAACAGTTTGAGATGTATATAAGGTAAAATAAGCTTTTTAATTATTTGTACTTTCAGGGAAACATACAAGAGCAAGCTATGGTGTGTACATGTGGCAATCTTCTCTAAAATAAATTGTTCTTCCTCTGTGTCTCTAGAGATGGCAGCAGAAACCCCCATTGATGCTCAGCAGGGAGGCCATCATTTCACTTCCTCCTCAAAATATCCAAATGTTCATATCCTTTGGTCTCAGGTTCTAAGCTTAAATGAAAGACCTGTGCACTTCAGAGCTAAAACCTGAAGGTATCAAATGGGTGTAATCAAGTAACATAAGATCTATAATTAAGGGCATCATATATGTAAATTACATAACAAGTTTTCTACTCTAGACAGCAGTATTGAGATTTCTGTGCCACTGACACACTAGGTTATGGGCACTACCCCCCAAAACAGACCCAGGATGCACCAAACACAACACCCAAGGGACACGGATGGCCAGGTGTTTGCATGTCATCAACTACACTGTTTATCCTGAAGAACTGAGGGGAGACATGGTAGCAGTCCTCAAAACACAAAGCCTAGTGGTAGCAAAAGTAAGCTGGCTAGAATTACACTGAGAGGTTTACTTTAGGTGGCAGGAAGTTTTGTAAAAGAAAGAACCATGAAGCAGCACATAAGGACTGCCTGTGAAAGACTATGGCCTGCCCGTGACTGGGGATTTGTAAAACATGAATTCAGACACATGCCTATCAACAACGGGTCCCTCCAATTCACTGTAACTGAAGTGCTCAACCAGGACATTGTCTCAGCATCCACAGAATGCAAACAAAAGAAAACAAAACATGCCAACTTCCCGCCAGATGGAAGTTCCCTGGCTAGTTCTGTGTTTTTTCATGAACACCATAAACCAAAAACAAACCCAAAATTCAGTACACTTTCTCTGAAAGCTAGACCAGGAAAAACTGGTTCCTTGGGTAACCACACAGCATGGAGGGTTTCTACACGATGGACAGTATTTTGCAATTACACGGCAACTCCAGACTGGCAAAGCAGTGGAGGGATTACTTTCATGTTTGCACTTAGGCTCTCAAGAGTGTAAGACAGAGCCAAAGGAACCTCGTGCATTATTCCTTCTCCAGAGTAATGGCTTTGAGTTATCAGCTTTTTACTGAAACTGCCTACCAGTTTTATTCCTACTAAGTTTCTGTTTATTATGGACTAAAGCTCTAAACAAGACTTTAAGAAAAAGCTTCAATTAATAATCTAAAAGGACAGCAAATACCTTTTTCCACCTTGAAATATTTGGGCTTCAGTTGACTACTAAGGCACACTTCCAGGGCTCAATTTTTTTTTAATGTGCTTTGAGCTACCCACCATAAGCTTAATGCCAATTTAGCATGCTCAGCTTTCATATCAACCATGGCAATTCCTTTTCTTTACAGTAAATTCAGAGGTAGAAAACACTTTCTCCTCACCTAAAAAGCATGCAGAAACTAGTGCTGTACTTTGCTGTCTCTCTTAGCTCAAAATTACCCAAGACACTGATGTTACCACAATTGCTTGCTCAGATTTCTAAGCCCTTAAACTACTTCACCTCGGATGATGCTCAGTAACTGCACGTTTTACTTTGCCTGTGGCATGTAAGAAGGCAGAAACATTTAGCTAACATTTCTCTGACTATTAAGGGGCCGCTCAAGGTAAACACCCTAGCAAATACGTTAGTGCTTGGCTCATGTTCTGCATCTGCATATCCTTAAGGCTGCCTGCCTTGGATTATCATATTCCTGCTGCTCTAAACAGTCTATTTTTATTCCAGTTCTGCAGTGTTAAAGCTTAACTGAAAAGACTGTGGGGATTACAACAGATGAAAGAATGCTAGGGAGCAAAGAGGGTGAATACAGCAGGAAAGTATCATATTTTTATCTCCAACGAAGCAATAATAAAACAAAAACCCAGCAATATAAGCAGGTCTTAAGGGCTCGGGGTTTGTCCTCCCCCCTCTTTTTAAAGCCTCTATTCCACAAAACATTTGCGATTACGAGGACTTAATTTTAAAAAAAATAAAAAAAAATTAAAAGGCATTTACCACACTCAAATGAAATGCCACAAATATCTGCACCAATCTCTCCCTACACAGCTCAGCATCCTCCGCGCCAGCCGGCTGCATCACATGTTCCTGGGGGTGATGTCATCCTTGCCGGGCCGGGCGGCTGCAGCTCCCGCCGCCGCGGTGCCGCCGCAGTGCCCGCAGCCCCGGCACCCACCCGCAGCCACGGGCGGGCACAGGGCTCTCCCGCAGACCAGCTCCGTGGAAGAGTACAACCCACGCCTGGCACGGGGCAGCTGGGCAAGGATGAAAATCCAGAGCGTTTTCACTCCCACGGTGCACGCTTCTCTTTTGGAAGCACAGTGTATGTGCAAAAAAGGCACATATTTATGCTGCTCCTTTCGCTACCCAGCTCACCTAAAGAGGCATTCTTCTTTTAAAAATCCTACGTCTTTTAAAGGCAATTTCAGTCTTATATAGGAAAATCATCCTTGATATTTTCAACACCTACTAAAGGAATACTTAATTCACAGTTTTACATTTTTATTAGGTAGTATGTGCCCTTCTGTTGTATCATACATCATACACTCCTTTCCCTAACTACCAGTCAGGGGGGAAGATGCTCAAATTATGCTAATTAATATTCAATTTCAGTAGATTAGGTAACACACTGCTACATAGCCCATTTCAATTTAAGAGGGTCCCCCACACCCCTCACAAAGAATTACAGAATTACACAATCTTGTGAGTTATATAGTATTCTAAATAAAAGTCTTATTACAGAGCAGTTATTGAAATGTTCTATTATACAACTTAAGATCTTTAAAACATGCCAACAGGAAACAAACAAAGGCATCTAAACCCTTTATCCAGATGTATACATTAGAAAATTAGGAAGCCTTCCCCACAAACACACACACTGTCACATCTTTGCCCCTACAAGTTCAAAGCCAGAAGACACCCTCAACTAGATAAATGTCAAAAACTAAACTGTCTGTACTTTTTCTCATATTGTATGAAGCTAAGATATTTTGTTGCAATATATTATTTTATAAATAATATACTACATTATTTTATAAGTTAAAACATCCATGAAAAGACAGCATCTTTGGGTAGACATATCAACCCTAGAAGGTTTCTAAGAGATCTTTACCCAAATAGTCAGGGCAGACTCCTTTCATTTGGGCTTCAAGTGTTCCCAAATCCCACAGTGAAGACCTGGATGCAGAGCTGCATGTCCACCTGCCCTGGAGACCAGAGAGTAACCCAGCGTAAAAGAACCATCTTTGGTTGGAAATCACAGCATTCCTGTAACTCCGCTGCTCCCCAGTTACCCAACTTGCTGAAACTTCCCACAGATATTGAAACACAGTGAGAAAGTCACCTTTAGAGCTGTAACACACTGGGTACTTGTGTGGAAGTTTACACAACCAAGACAGACACTCTATTAGCATAAGGCTAAGGCTTCCTTCAGACGCAGAAAACAAGGTAACTGTTATCATCTTGCACTGCGATGATCAATAACCAGTCAGCCACACAATCACAGGAAACAGAAAAAAATTGCCTTAAGCCTTTCAGGGTAACGATTTGATTACAGAACTGTGATATGAACCAATGTCGGAAATCCGTTCCCCAAAGATGCATTGCTACCCCAAGAACACACGAGTCTTTACTTCAGAGGTGTCTTCAGTGATGTGCATCACTCAGTTATGGCAACAAACATAAAACAGGGAAACAGAAATAAAGACAACAAAGACTCAGAAATTGAGGCTAAGAGCAGCACCCATTAGCAAAGAGGTTGACCAAGCACTTGTCCATTGCTGTCACACACAACTGACTTGAAATTTTTCTGAAACTTGGTGGGAGAAAAAACATGAACAAAAAAAGGGAATGCTCTCATCCTGAAAACTCACACCTTAAATAACACAACTGCTTTTCACCTTGCAACATAAAAACAAGATCTTTTAACAAGCACAAACCAAAAAAAGCTAAACTCAGCCCAGAGTATGTTGATGCTTTAGGCTGTTTGGACTTCAGAATGATTCCCCGTCAGGTCACCAACAGAAAGTAAGCAACTTATCTGCCAGGA